AATGTAAAGATTGTATATAAAATGAATAAATAATTGTTTCTTCTAACTTTAACCTTGCCCAATTTAACCTAGAGACAGTGAAGCTTCAAACACAAGTAAACGTTGTAGCTCATAACGCTCCAAAAACAAAAGGAGACAGAAATTCGAAACATAAGAATCTTCTTTTTCAAGAAAAAAGAAAATTATACTCCTTTCATTTTAAACTTATAAATCTTATTAACCTCCCAAAAAAAAACTCTAAACGTCAACGAGAAGAGCGACATAGAGAAGTTGGTTCCATGCATCAGGGACTCCAGGGAGACACCAATGGCTACAGTCATTTAACCTTCTGCCTCCACCGGCATAGATCGAAGGATGACCGTCCTTTCTCATCTCCGTCATAGCGGTCACGTCAAGGAGACTAACCGGTTTAGCCATCCCTCTGATCACACGGCTCACTATAGCCTCGCCTCCGCTGTGTCTAGGGTAAATTGTTCCTTTCACTGGTTTCGTCTCTCCCAAGCAAGTCTTCCCCGGTTTACCCCATTCACTCCCACTTTCAAATCAAACAGAAACCAAAGAAGAACCCGGTTAATTAAGTCTTCTTTTAGATAAGTATAATTTATAAGTACTAGAGAGAGGGAGGTAGAGATTAACTTTAGATGAACGGGAGAGACTCCTTGATAGAAAACCCTAGCTTTTGAAGGATCAATGTTGTGATCAACCCAATTAGCCCAAGTTTTTAAAGCAATCTTGAAAGCTTCCATTCTATCCATCTCTTTCTCGATTCGATCTCCCACTTGGAAATAGTCCCATCTACATAATCATAATCATCATTGGATCATATAGAACATAGATGATCATATGGTTAAATTAAAGCACATGAGATCGTTGATTAATATTTTACGTTTTGGAGCGACCAGTGTGAGTCCACCAATGGAAAGTGTTGAAGATGACAACATCTGATCCTAACCATTGTTTTCCTGTACTGATCGAATCTAGTTTCAGAACCAATCCTCTTGTTTTGTCCGCTACCAAATCCACCAAGAATCCATTTTTAAGGTAATTTACCGATATTCCATATTCCTGTTATAATAAGGGAAAAAAAACATTCATGAATTGATCGTCCAACCGAATCCAATAACCGAGAATAAACCGGTTGAGTTACGTACCGGAATTGTGAAGGTAGAGAGCTTCTTGTTGAGTTTGAAGCTATACGTAGCGTTGGGAACGGATGCGTAAAGCATACAACAAAGTGACACCCACATATTGTTGCTTAGTGAATCTCCCACAAATAATATTTTCTTCCCTCTGAATCTTTTCAAGAAATATAGTCCGCTAAAACTGTCACGTCATTCATAAAATGTTAATATGGAAAGATTATAAAGCTTATAATGTATATTATTGCTAGATAGTCATAACACATGATTATAAAATATAACAAATATTGATTACATATACAAACGTAAGATTTTATGTCACATTTCATTAGTACTGATTTCAGTTTATTGCATAAAAATATATTGTACTGAATCATACATACCAAAATATATTATATGTCCACTAAAAAAATTATCGGATCGGTTTTCGAATCTTGAGTACCTTAATATGATATGTCTTGCATTTAAGTGTATACAAAAAAAATAAAAATAAAATGGAAGCATCATCTTATCATGTATGACAAAAAATGTAATCGAGTGATCTACATCTTATATTTACAAACAAAAAAAAATGCTTTTCAACACCTCTATAAAATGTTGTTTCCGGGTAATTGATTTGGCAAGTATATATTTTTGTCATCAATGCCCTGTATATATTAAAAAAAAAATTAAAAATATGTAGAAATTTTTACCATGGCAAATTGGAATGTTATGATTGGTTGATTTAATTAACGTGTTCCCTAAAACCCTCTTTGAATGACACCTAGGATTTTTACTTTTAGTGTCTCCTCAATTAATATATACATGCGAGATTTCGGATTTGATTACTTCTCTATATTAATTGATTACACGATATCTCAAAGATTACATCCTCATGACGAACAAGATCCAATTTCATCGTGTCATGTTATTTGGAATCCATAAAAACAATTTTCTTAAAAAGTATAATTTGAATTTGTTTTCAAGTAAGTGAAAAGTAATTATCACCTTGGGATGTCGCATCCGGTGGGTTGCCACTGGTAATAGAGGTAGTCTTTGTCTGGTCGACCAAATTTCTGACAATCTAATCCGATGAACGGACAAGTTGATGTTTCATAATAAGGACTAGATAAAATATCATAAATCCATCTTCCTTCGTAAATGTTACACTTTGATGCATTTTTCTTGTAACCAATTGCGTTGTTGTTAATCACGTAATTAGCATTAGTGTTATCTGCCAACACTTTGGAATCTGCTAAATCAACAAGAAAAATAAGGAGGAGAAGGAGGATGTGGTGAAAATCCATTTTTTGTTATTCGAAGAGACGTAACAAGATGATATTAAAGGTCAAAATGTTCATTGTTGTATTTATCTATGATTTTGAGTATCTACATAAATAGTCAAATATCTAGGATTTTGGGGAAGTAATAACTTTTTATTGAATATTTAAGAGTAAAAGAATTTCTTTCTTGGTTAACATATACGTATACAAATAGCCAATCTTTACGGTCAAGACAAGACTCAAGAGTTTCAATTTGTACATTGAAATTTACGAGATTTTTGCCCTTTGGGGAAGATCAAGTAAATAACTATCGAAAACATCACTTAAAATATTTTGGAGCTTTAGTACATATGTTGATCATTAGTTAAAATTAAAACATTCTACGATCTTACATTTACTTTTATAACTAACCAAATTATTATTCGTTTTCTTAATATAAAAACATGTTACTTTTTTTTGCTTCTTTTTTTTTGGTCACAACGATAAATTTTATTACTTAGGTCGAATCCGTCGACAAAACAAGAGTATCAAACTCTCTCTTAGCTAACGAATCAGCCAACATATTGGCTTCTCGTGGAACAAATATAAATTTTAGCAAACGAAAATACGTAGCTAATAGCCTAATCTCGAAAAGAAGATTGTGGATCTCCGTATGCGAATCCTTAGAGATGAGTAGATTAATTAAAACATGTGAATCGGAGCATACTTTTAAGGAGTCCACTCCTCTATCTCGAGCTTTTTGCATTGCTATAAAAATAGCCCAAGTTTCCACCGCAAGGGCCGAAGTAACATTTGGCAATGCCACAGAAAACTCTTCTTTTTCGGTTCCATTTGGATCTTCAAACCACCATCCTAGACCACAAAACTTAGCGTCTTTCTTCCAAGAAGCATCCGTGTAGCATGTTGAGACATGTTACTTTTATAATTCTTCAAAAAATTATCATTTTCCGCAAGAGACAAAATATCTAAACGTTATCGCAATAATTAATCAGTCTTTGTCGTATGCGGAAACTGTTATGAAACTGATACTCCGCAATAAAAACCTTTTTAATGAGCAAGAAACAAAAAAAAGTGGACTGCAAAATTCTCTGTTCAACTCACAACACTAAAGATTTATCTTCTTAGAGCTCCATAGTTCCTTGTAACCTGCATTTACAAATCGTACTGTTAAGTGAGCTTTGATCTCATATGGTAAACAAGAGCTTAAACCCGCTGATGAGCACGAAACAGATAAACAATGGAAAGCAGAACAAACCCGAGGCTGAGATCTGTTTAG